GAATTGCCTGAACCCAGGAGGCGGAGGTTGCGGTGAGCCGAGATCGCGCCATTGCACTCCAGCCTGGGTTCAGGCAATTCTCCTGCCTCAGCCTCCTGAGTAGCTGGGATTACAGGCACACGCCACCATGCCCAGCTGAATTTTTGTATTTTTAGTAGAGACGGGGTTTCGCCATGTTGACCAGGATGGTCTCGATCTCTTGACCTCGTGATCCACCCGCCTCGGCCTCCCACAGTGCTGGGATTACAGGCTTGAGCCACCACACCCGGCCTCGCATCCCATTTTCAGCAACACCCAGAAGCGGTCTCTCTCCGGTCCTGAGAAGCTGTTACTGCAGAACTCACTTGGTTGGAAAACGCAAGGGAACTGCGTTTTGGGGAACCCCTGTGATAAGCCAGGGAGGTAGGGAACACACCGTAAGGAAGGCTTTAAAGGTGCAAGAGCGCTGTTTAGTGTAAAGACAGCGCAGTAGGCAGGGAGTTCGAAGGGAGTTATCTGAGTTCCTCAGGTCATTGTTTAAATGTTTGCTGTTTTCAGGGTACTATGTTGAGTTTTGGCAAAAAAGGTACAGATTACCCGGATGTCTCTCCTCCATTAGAACTCATGGCCTGGGTTGGGGTGGGAGCTGGAACGGATTTATACGAAGACGATAGTAATGGAAGTCAGAATTTGATAGTGAAAAACTCCCCAGTTTATTTTTTTTTTTTTAAGAAATGGAGTCTTGCTCTGTTGCCCAAGCTGGAGTGCAGTGGCGCGATCTCAGCTCACTGCAACTTCTGCCTCCTGGGTTCTAGCAATTCTCCTGCCTCACCCTCCCGAGTAGCTGGGACTACAGGCACACGCCGCCATGCCCGGTTAATTTTTTGTATTTTAGTGGAGAGATGGTTTCACCATGTTGTCCAGGCTTGTTCTCAAACTCCTGAGCTGAGGTGATCCACCCACCTCAGCCTCCCAAAGTGCTAGGATTACAGGTGTGAGCCACTGCACCCTGCCGACCACAAAACTTTTGTTAGCAGAAACCACAGAGCTTTCCCTTGTTTTCCTTAGTGATCAAAATGTTGTTGTAAAGACTAAACACGTTACTGTCTATGTAGTATTTAACATATAGGTTATAGTGCATTATATTCGTGTTAGCTACTATTGTAAAAATACAAAAGAAGGAAAGGTTTTTCCAACCTGGGTGATCAGGAAATAGTTCATGGAGACATTGTGATTGAGTTGCCCTCTAAAGATAGATGGGATAGCCACAGATAGATAGAGGGAGGCGCTACATGGAAGGACTGAAGAGCCAGTGCAGAGATGGCACAGGTTTGGGAAAACACTGGTTTTTTGTACCTTTAGTTGAGGTTGCTTAGTTGAAGTTGAGGAGATGGGATATCAGGACAGACAGGTCAGCATTGGTTCCGATAGTATCTTGAATGCTATGCTAAAGAATTTGGGTTTTATGCTGCAGTAAGAAGGGAGCTCACTTACATTCTTAGGCAGTGATAGGAGCAGAGCTGTGTGTTTTAGGCATGTACTTTGGTGGTGATATTAAGGAAGGATATCAATAAAGATGATTTTTAATAGTCTGAGTGTTGGGAACTTGAACTTGAGCAGCAGCAGTGGGAAGCAAAAAGGAAAACCAGAGCAAACACCGTGAGAGCCTACTGTATACAGGGTTTCTGCATTAGGTGCCTTAATAACATCCATTTCATAACATATTAGGAGACTGAGACTCAGCTTCTAAGCAGTTTGCTCAGAGCTCCACAACTGCTAATGACGGAATTCCAAATCAGACTTCTTTTTTTTTGAGATAGAGTTTTGCTTTTCTTGCCCAGGCTGGAGTGCAGTGGCGCAATCTCGGCTCTCTGCAACCTCTGCCTTTCAGGTTCAAGTGATTCTCCTGCCTCAGGTTCCCGAGTAGCTGGGATTACAGGGACACACCACCATGCCTGGCTAATTTTTGTATTTTTAGTAGAGATAGGGTTTCACCATGTTTGCTAGGCTGGTCTCAAACTCATGACTTCTGGTGATCCACCCACCTTGGCCTCCCAAAGTGCTGGGATTATAGGCATAATCACCACACCCGGCCCAAATCAGACTTCTTTAATGCTGAAGGCCACACTTTTTCCCATGACATAGCACTGCTTACTGGTCTAAATAGATTTCACAACTGGCTTGGTAGCCTGACCTTTGGTGTCAAGCTGTGCTTCCTTCTACTACTCCTATCCTGGGAGAAGTATAAGGCTCATTTTCTTTGGTTCTTTTACACGTAAAGCTTACAAATGATGATATCTGTGTTTTGACATTTTAGTTTGTGCTAAAGATGCTGTGAGCAGTACTAGTAACGCTTTGCAATTTGTTTAAATCTCTTCCCAGGTTCTGCGGCATGAGGAATTTGAAGAAGGCTGCAAAGCTGCCTGTAATGGGTATAATACCTTGTTTCTTAAAATTTCCCTTAGGGTCTGAATACACCTGCATAACAGAAGACAGTTTCTTAAAGTGGGTACAAAGCAGTGGACTTAATTAATGAGGCAGTAAACCAGGGAGGCAACTTCGGGAACACTGTTAACACATCCTCTGTTTCTCTGTGGCACACCAAGCCATTCTCCAGCTCTCTAGTACCAGCTGGCTGCCCTGTTATTTAATCCGATGCCGACTCTACCTGGAGTTAGTGTCAGATCCCACAAGTTCAGGGCTCGGTCCCAGAAGGTTTCCCCCACTTCAGGTGCTCATTCCAAGTCTGGATCTCAGTATTTCTGATGACCAGCTACAAGTTGGGGCTTCCCACCCTGCTTCCTCAGGTTTGATAATCTGCTACAATGACTCATGCAACTAAGGGAAACACTTACTTACATTTACTGGTTTATTGTAAAGGATATGTGTCAGAAACGGCTAGACAGAAGAGATACTTGGCTAGACAGAAGAGATACTTAGGGCAAGGCAAGGAGAGTGGGCTGCGAGGCTTCTGTGCACTTCCCGCCTGGGGCTTCCCTGCTCTTCCCGGGGCTTTCGTGCACTTCCCAGAGCTTCCCTGCTCTTCCTGGTCAACCTCCCCTCCCAGCACCTCCATGTGTTCAGCATCCTAGAAGCTCATCAAGTCTTGTTGTTCAAGCCTAAGAGAGCCCAGTCTCCATCCCCTTGCTTCCCAGACTGAAAGTTCCAGTCCTATAATCATTTGTCTTTCTGATGACCAGCCCCAGCTTGAGTCTATATAGAGGCCTCACTCTGAGTCACCTCATTAGCATAAACTCAGGTGTGATTGAAAGGGGTTCATGATGAAGAACAAAAGATATTCCTGTGAGGAAATTCCAGAGGTTTGGGGAGCTCTTGAGACAGGAACCAGGGGCAGTGAACAAATATATGATACCACAGATGGAAATAGATTCTCTGGGTGAAGGAGCGACTTTCGAGTATCTTTTTTTTTTTTTCTGAGACAGAGTCTCACTCTGTCGCTCAGGCTGGAGTGCAGTGGTACAGTCTTGGCTCACTGCAACCTCTGTCTCCCGGGTTCAAGCAATTCTCCTGCCTCAGCCTCCCTAGTAGGTGGGATTACAGGTGTGTGCCACTACGACCCAGCCAATTTTTGTATTTCTAGTAGAGACAGGGTTTCACCATGTTGGCCGGGCGGGTCTCAAACTCCTGACCTCAGGCGATCCACCCGCCCATCTCAGCTTCCCAAAGTGCAGGGGTTACAGGCGTGAGCCACCATATCCAGCCATCTCTTAAGCTTACTGCCATGTCAAGTTGGAACAGCCCAAGGCCTGTTAGGAATTTGATGCTCTTTGATTGATAGGCAAGGAAGTCACAGAGGTCAGTTGGAGAGCTGTCTTTAGGATTCTGTTCCCTGCTTTACAGAAAAGGTGAACAAATCTTTCCTTCAAGTAGGTGCTGAATAGCCAGTCTTTGGAGCTTGTCGTAGGGTCCCATGAGCACTCCCCACGTCGCTTTCTGTACCACCTGAGGCCATCTCATCCTTAAGAGAACTTTTAGGACCAGTCATGACTGCTCATCTCTCTGTGCCCAGTAGTTCTCTGGCGGTGGCCTGAGGCAGATTTGTCTGTGGTCGCTGACTTCATTGACTTTTATCTTCTAGGCCTTATGATGGGAAATGGAGTAAAACAATGGTGGGATTTGGGCCTGAGGATGACCATTTTGTTGCAGAACTGACTTACAATTATGGCATCGGAGACTACAAGCTTGGCAATGACTTTATGGTAAATACCGTTTTTTTCTAGCAGATTTTTGGCTGGGGGTAGGTGGCTGGTTGTAAATTTGAGGAGGGTATTGAGGGTGTGTGTGAGTGAAGAGATGACATTTGAGCAGATGCTCAGAGGAGGTCAGGGAGTTAGCTATGTGCATGTCTGGGGGAAGAGTATTCCAGCAGAGAATAGCCTGTTCTGAGCCCCCAAGTCACATGTGGCATGTTCAAGGGCATGTGAGGAAGCCAGTGTGGCTAGAATAGAGACAGTGGGGGAAAGTGGTGAGAGACGGGGTCAGCAGTGGCATGGGGTAAGATCACATAGGGCCTCCCAGGCCCTAAGTCACCCCTGCGTGAAATGAAGAGCCATTGGAGGACTTTGAGCAAAGGGAAAACCCGGCTGGCTGCTGTCTGGGGTTGGACCACAGAAGGCGCTGTGGGAAGTTGACTGCAGCTCAGAGTGGATAATGGGTTTACAAGTCTGGGGGCACAGAGGCCATGAGAATAATCTAAGCCTTAGTAGAGAGCATAGGTGGACATTTCTAGGTCCTTTGATTAGATGTAAGGAAACCTTGATAGTTTACTTATTTTTTGATTGGTTGGTTGTTAAAAAAGCAAAAACAGCCTGGCATGGTGGTTCATGCCTGTAATCCCAACATTTTAGGAGGCCAGGGTGGGCGGATCATGAGTTCAGGAGATTGAGACCATCCCGGCCAACATGGTGAACCCCCATCTCTACTAAAAGTACAAAAATTAGTCGAGTGTGGTGGCACATGCCTGTAGTCTCAGCTACTTGGAATGCTGAGCCGGAGACTCACTTGAACTGGGGAGGCAGAGGCTGCAGAGAGCCGAGATGATGCCACTGTACTCTTGCCTGGTGACAGAGCAAGATTCTGTCTCAAAACAACAACAACAACAAAAAAAAGCAAAAAGAGGTCATCTTAAATAGGTAGCTAGCTGACAGACCAAGGTAACATCAAGGCTTCTCTGGCTAGATCTTTAAAACTAGAAGCACTTATCCTTGGTATTAAATGAATCAGACTTCACTGGCATCTCAGTTTTTGTCCTGTTATTCATGAAGGTGAACATTTGTGGGATAAAACATCCAAAACCTGTTTTTAAGTCACTAGAAGAAAATGTTGGATGCCAGTGAAATCTTAGGTGATTTTACCTGAAGGCGGTAGGCAGTGAGGCTGGGCTCGTGGTCTTGTTCTGTGAAGTGTCTGTGTGCATATGTACTTGGGTGATGCTGTTGTTTGTTTTAGGGTCTCACAGTCGCTTCTAGCCAGGCTGTCAGCAATGCCAGGAAGCTGGGGTGGCCGCTGACAGAAGTTGCAGAAGGTGTTTTTGAAACCGAGGCCCCAGGAGGATATAAGTTCTATTTGCAGAATTGCAGCCTACCTCAGTCAGGTAATGACACCAGAACCAGTCAAAGCATCTATCTAAAGGCATCTTGGAAGAATGGAGAGTGAAGGCCGCTTGTCTTTTTTTTGTAGAGTCTTTCTGCATTCATGTGACGTGTCTTCCCCAGCCAATGCTTTTACCTGTTATCCGAGAGATTATATTCTCATATCAAACTTTAGTGCATAACAATAGGGGGTCTAGAGTGGTTCTGTTTCACTGGTAATGTACTGATTTATGATTCTTTCATCCATAAATAACAGAAAACCCAACAACTTTGAACAATTAGAAAATGTCTTAGCTCACAGAGCAGGCATTCTATAGGTAAGAAAGATTCCAGGGTTAGATGATTCACCAGCTCACCAGGTTTTCTCTTTCTCTGCTCTCTTGTTCTCTGCGGGTCCCTCTCCTAGAGCTGGTGCCCTCGGGGTTGCAGGAGGGCTGCCAGCTGCAGGCAGGGCTGCATGCTCCCACGTTCCCATCTGGTAGGAGAGGAAACACTGACTTCTTTTTCCTTTTTTTTAAGACTCTGTTGCTCAGGCTAGAGTGCAGTGACATGATCTCTGCTCACTGGCTCACGGCAACTTCTGCCTCCTGGCAACCTCTGCCTCCTGGGTTCAGGCAATTTTCTTTCCTCAGCCTCCTGAGTAGCTGGGATTACAGGTGCCCACCACAATGCCCAGCTATTTCTTTTTGTATTTTTATTAATTTTTAAAAACTACTTATTTATTTTTTGAGACGGAGTCTTGCTCTGTCACCCAGGCTGGAGTGCAGTGGCACAATCTCACCTCACTGCAACCTCCACCTCCCAGGTTCGAGTGATTTCTCCAGCCTCAGCCTCTCCAGTAGCTGAGATTACAGGCACCTGCCACCACACCCAGCTAATTTTTGTATTTTTAGTAAAGATGAGGTTTCATCACATTGTTCAGGCTGGTCTTGAATTTCTGACCTCACTTGATCCGCCCGCCTCAGCCTCGCAAAGTGCTGGGATTGCAGGTGTGAGCCACTGGCCCTGGTCCTTTTTGCTTTAAGAGCAGAAGAAAAGCTTTCCTAGAATCTTTCAGCAAACTTCGTGGTCACATTTGATATACTGTGCCTGCTCCAAAACCAATGACTGGGAAGAGAAATAGGATCATCCCTAAACCATTTAGCCATGAGTCTTGAGCTGAGGTCCGTTTCCCACACTTCAGCATTGGGACTCAGTGAGGGATGGCATGGAGGTGAGGAGCCCTCATGGTGACTGCTGCCCCAGACAAGAAGGAAACTTTGCAGGGTTTGGTTTGTTTACTGCAGAGGCAGCCTCATCAGTATTTAATTCTGTATTTAATTCCTGCAAATTCAGCCACCTGCTCTGCAAAACAAAACAAGAATGGGAAAATGTGGGTGATGGCAGGGGCACCCTGCCTGCTGTTTCCCTTAATGAACATACTCCTGCAGGTGGCCTGGGAAGGGAGCATGCATGCACATTGTCTCTCTCCTGCTGCTTGGCTCCTGTCCCCAGGGCCCCCATGCTGAGTCTCCCTAGAATGTTTGATGCTCCTTGTTTATCATCTGGTGCTCAGCAAAAGAAAGATCAGTCCGTTCCAGTGTGGGAGGTGAGACTTGGCTGTGTGGGACTCATGGAGAGATGGTGTTTCTGTACTTTGCTGGTGATTTAAAGGATGTGTATGGTGTTTTTTTGTTGATAGGTTATTGATTGACTTTAAAACTTAACCTTTGCAACTAGCTACACTGCATTTTTTTCCTCCAGTCTTAGTGATGTTTCAGTACTGAAAATAGTAGAGAGCCCCACAGTGCTAAGATGCGTTTGCCCTTTGAGATGGAAATCCCTTTGGGCATTTCTGGTTGATAATGTGGTCAGACCCATCTGTCTACCTGGCATTCATCTTTCCTTTGAATTACTCACTCCTGTGCTGCTTAACCTGCTTGTTACCTTCCTGTCCTGCGTCCCTTCAGCTCCAGATCTACTGGGATTTGCTGATTTTGAAGTCAATGGAAGGAGTCTGCTAGGCAGAGGCACTTGTGAGAAATACCGTGTCTTAGTCATGGTATTGCCTTTCTAGCAAACGGGACTAAGGCAGCGAAAACCAAATAAAAATGTATTGAATTTATCATATTCAGATGGAGACGTGGAACAGCTCTTCAGAAAGTCACTTTACAATGTGAAAAGTTTCCAGTAGCAGGAGGTGTTTCAATATGACTTTTATTCTTTGTACAAAATAGTGGAATTTTTTTCCATAGACAAGCAGATGAGGCGGGGTGGGGGCGGAAGAACGTGTACCCATATATCCAGAGATAACCGCTGCTAACATTTTAGAGTATATCTTTCCAATCTTTTGTCAACAATACATATATATATTAAGTGTATACGTTTCTTCACATCCTTTCCTAGGGTTCCATTGTATTGTTACATTGTAGGAAGATGAACAGTTCTTTATTGGAAATTTCCGTCAGTGTTTTATTGTTCTAAGCAACACTGGGATGAATGTCTTTGTGTTAAAAGCCCTTCATACGTCCACAATTACTTTTTGAGTGGCTGAAAATGGACTTGTTCTTTTAAAAGCAGTGAGCATTTTTCAAAGCTTTTGGTACATTCTGTCAAATTATTGCCAGAAATGTACTGATTTACACTTAACAAGTATTATGTGGCTGTGATTTTACCCTCTACACTAACACTGCTAATCTTTTTTTTTTTTTTTTTGAGACATAGTCTTCACTCTGTCACCAGGTTGGAGTGCAGTGGCATGACCTCGGCTTACTACAACCACCGCCTCCCGGGTCCAAGCGATTCTCCTGGTTCAGCCTCCTGAGTAGCTGGGACTACAGATGCATGCCACTCTGGCCAGCTAATTTTTGTGTTTTTAGTAGAGATGGGGTTCCACCATGTTGGCCAGGATGGTCTCAATCTCTTAACCTCGTGATCTGCCTGCCTCGGCCTCCCTAAGTGCTGGGACTACAAGCATGGGCCACCCCACCTGGCCAACACTGCTAACTTTTAACATGATTTGCACATTAGATAACAAAAGATTTTATGTGAATTCTGACTTCTTTTTTGGGAAGGGGGTCAGGTTGAATATTTTTTCATATGTTAATTGGCCATCTAATTCCTTCTTTTGTGGATTATTGCTTTGTGCCTTTTGCCTGATTTTCTAGCATGTTCATCCTTTTCCTATTAGTATTTACAGGTGATTTACACATTAAGGACTTTCTGTCCAATATATTGCAATTTTTCCTACTGTGCCGTGTACTCTGGTTTTGTTTGTAATTCCTTTTCTTTGTTGTTGTCTGCGAGTTTTCCATTTTGTGTAATTTATGTAGCAGAATTTTTTTCTTCATAGTTTTTCTATCTTTGGTGTTAAGTTTAAAGCAAAGTCTTCCTCTATTCCAGAATTGTATAAATCATCAGCTGTATCTAGTATTTTCATGGTTTCATTCTTTTTTTTTTCCCATGGTTTCATTCTTTAAACTTATTCCTTTAACCCATCAGGAAGTATTTTGTCATTTATTTCAGAGATATAAGTTTTTCTTGCCAAATGATTAGCCAGTCTTCTTAGTGCCATCCATTGAATAACGAGGCTTTTCATACTGTCTTTTTCTTTTTTTGAGATAGGATCTCATTCTGTTGCCCAGGCTGGAGTACAGTATCGCAGTCTTGGCTCACTGCAGTCTCAACCTCCCAGGCTCAAGCGATGCCCTGATTCAGCCTCTCAAGTAGCTGTGACTATATGCGCCACCACACCTGTCTAATTAAAAAAAATTTTTTTTATACAGCTGAGGTCTCACTGTGTTGCCTGGGCTGGTCTTGAATTCCCAGGCTCACACAATCTTCCTATCTCGGTCTCCCGAAGTGTTGGGATTATAGGCGTGGGCCGCTGTACCGGGCTTTACATTGGCTTAAAATCCTTTTCTTGGCCTGGCGCAGTGGCTCACAACTGCAATCCCAGCACTTTGGGAGCCCGAGGCGGGCGGATCACGAGATCAGAAGTTCGAGACCAGCCTGGCCAACATAGTGAAACCCCGTCTCTACTAAAAATACAAAAATTAGCTGGGCATGGTGGCACACACCTGTAGTCCCAGCTACTCGGGAGGCTGAGGCAGGAGAATCCCTTGCACCTGGAAGGCAGAGGTTGAACTGAGATTGCACCACTGCACTCCAGCCTGGGCAACAGAGTGAGACTCTGTCTCAAAAACAGAAAAGAAAAGAAAAGAAAAAAATCCCTTTCTTATAAGCTGAATTTGTATGTATACATGAGCGTGTTTTGGTCTATTGCATTCCATTAAATTGATCTGTCTATTCCGCTTTATTACCCAACAGATCCTGTATTAAAAGTAACTCTAGCAGTGTCTGATCTTCAGAAGTCCTTGAACTACTGGTGTAATCTACTGGGCATGAAAATTTATGAAAAAGATGAAGAAAAGCAAAGGGCTTTGCTGGGCTATGCTGATAACCAGGTGAGCAGTCCTGGAGAATAACTAACCTGTTACTTTGAATTTGGCTTACAAATGAAGCTTAGAAATGGCTCATAACCTTTATAGATAAGGTTAACATGAAGGTGTTCTCATAGTTTCTTCACAGTGATTTCAATATTTACATAGATAAACAGAAGGAAATGAAAGTAAGTGATAACCTTACCACCCAGATATTACCTCATTTCTATTTGGGGATAGATGTATCCTTTCAGAAGTGGAATTGCTTAATCAGGGAGATTGAATGGATTTAATGCACCATCTTTGTCATCTGTTTTTTAATAACCTAGCATTTGAGCATGATTTAGTCCTTGTACTTTGACCCAGCAATTCTCCTCCTGGGAATTATTTTACAGATGTGCTAAGCATACATAGGCACAAAGAAGTGTGTGGGAGGGTATCTGTTGCAGCATTGTTTGTAATAACAGCATATGAGAACGTCAGTGTCCTGTGGACTAGAGACATACTTCAGTGATTTATGGTTCATTCATGAAATGGATCACTATGTAGCTAGCAAAAAGATTGAGGCAAATCTTTATGTATTGATGTGGTAACGTTAAGTGGAGAAAAACAAGGAACAGAATAATTTGTCAGTAATGCTACCATTTGTGTGAAAGAAAAAGATGTAGGCATGCAGTGCTTCTAAAAGGGTACCCAAGCAACTGCTTACTGGTTGTCTCTGGGCTGAGAGAAGGACAGAGACTTAGTTTTTGCTTTATTGCTGTAGTGTATGCTATTTAAATTTTTCTGCTACACACATGTAATGTATAACCTGTTCCAAAAAATAAGCCCCTTTCCTGTTTCAGTGTAAGCTGGAGCTACAGGGCGTGAAGGGTGCGGTGGACCATGCAGCAGCATTTGGAAGAATTGCCTTCTCTTGCCCCCAGAAAGAGGTAGTGCTTGATACCAGATCTTTCACGCTCTGTGGCTAGCTAGTTCAGCCCAGCCAAGAACCTTGCCCTTCCTCTCTCAAGGTTCATTCTGATTGTGGCATTTGTATCAAGTTCAGCAGTTGTTTCAAGAGCAGCTGAGATAATAAAATCAAACAAATGGCGCCTTGGTTCTTTCTGGGCTCTGACACTCCTCTGGGGCTGGCGAGGGCCGTGTCGTGAGTAGTGTGTGACCCCTGGCTCACCTTGCATCTTTGTTTTCCTCAAGTTACCAGGCTTAGAAGATTTGATGAAAAGGGAGAAGCAGAAGATTCTGACGCCCCTGGTGAGCCTGGATACCCCGGGGAAAGCAACAGTGCAGGTGGTCATTCTGGCCGACCCTGTAAGTATTACTCGGGTGGCGCAGGCTGGACTGGGGATTCTTCAGAGATGTCTTTTTGACCGATGTCTTTTCTCTTTATTGAGGTAGGATGGACATGAAATTTGCTTTGTTGGGGATGAAGCATTTCGAGAACTTTCTAAGATGGATCCAGAGGGAAGCAGATTGTTAGATGATGTAAGTCTCACTTCTAAACTGATGTCACCCTGGGCCTGAGGGGGTTGGTGTTAGGTGTGTGTGAAAAGGGCCTGACAAAAGGGTCCAGGTTTTCATGGTCAGAAACACGTCGCTGCTGGGTGGACCTGAGCCAAGGGCCTATGTCTTCACTGCCACCTGTGTAGACCACCTATCTAGACTCAGCATTCATGCCTTCCTTCAGCCGCAGGCCACTCTGAACCCTGCTGCTGGATCTGTCCTTACTCTGCTGTCTGCGTGGAGGTGCCTCCGTCCCCTCCCCTCCGCTCTGGGTCTGTCCTTAC